CCCACCTGCTAGGGCTTTGATGCGGGAGCGCTCAAAGAGCCGCGCCGAGCTGTTGTCGTTGTCCAGCTCATCGTCGGACGCGTCCCAGCGGACGTTGATGCGGCTGTACTGCTGCTGCAGCTCCAGCTGCTCGTAGTCGTTGGCCGGGGGACACCGGCGAGAGGCCCCTGGGGACAGGGGGACCGTGAGAATCAGCGCGGCTGCAGCGGCTCGCCGGCCCTGCGGCACGTGGGGATTTGCAGCTCAGAGCGGCTGGATAAGCTGCTCAGAGGGATTTAGCCTCACCCCACCCAGGTGTTGGGGGGGGCACCTGGGTGCTGCGTGCTCCAGGACCCCCCGTGCTGAGCTGTGCCGAACCGTGCCGATGCCTATTTACAGTGCTGTGTCCCCACCCAGGTCCCTCCTGCCCCGCTAACACCCCAATCTGGGTCTCCGGGGGTGTCCCCCAATCCTTGTGTGCCCCTAGGGAAGCGGGTGCCGTTCACCCCAACCCCTGCACAACAGAGGGGCTTCACCGACACTGGTGGCAGAAAGTGGGTGACAGCTGCCAGCGGGGGTGGCCACCCACCCCCGCGGACATTTGAGACACAGATAGGACATGGCTGGTATCTAAAAATGCCTCCGAGCAGCTGTCGGTGGCTGCTGGGGCCCCTGAGGGGTGAGAGGAGATGGGCTCTGGCTCCCCACAGCCAGCAACACACCCAGGACCACCCCCAGCAACCCAGAGCTGCATGGAGCCCTCAGCTGAGGGTGTTGAGGGGAACCCCGTGTGCCCCAAACCGCTGGTGACCCCGTGAGCTGTGACACTGCATGATTCCCCCAGGCCCCCCCGGAACCCCTCAGGGCACCCCCTGGATCCCCTCGGGTCCCCCTGGGTGGTGTTATCGGGGCGGCCGGGCTGGACCACACCCCAGCTCCGCACCCTAATCGGGGCAGCACAGGCAGGGCTTGGCCTGGGTTTGGTGGCACTGGGAGTGTGCAAGGACATGGAGGAGCATGCGGGAGCATGGACACGGCAGCAAGGGCACACAGGAACATGTGCATGTGTGAGGAAGGGCATGTAGAAGTGTAGAAGTCTGACAGAGCCTGTCCATGGGAGCGAGGACGAGCAGGAACGTGCCAGAGCATGCAAGAGTGAGCAAGGACACACAGAAGCATGGCAGAGTGTGCACATGTGAGCCAGGACACGTAGAAAATAGAAACATGCCAGAGTGTGCCAGAGCATGCACATACCGGCAAAGGTAGGCAGGAGCACGCCCAGAGCATGTACATGTCAGTAAAGACATGTGGAAGAGTGCCAGAGCATGTCAGAGCATCCACGTGAGAGCAAGGACATGCAACAACATGCCAGGGCACGCAAGAGTGTGCACATATGACCAGGGACATGCAGGAACATGCCAGAGCATGCACACATGAGCCAGGCCATGGGACACACACAGCAGGCACATGAGCACATGCAGGAGTGAGCAGGAGGGCACCGGCGCCAGGCCCGCACCCCCCCATGCCGTGGCTCTGTGCCACTGCTGGAGCACCTGGCTCCCCCTGTGGGAGCCCAGATTTGGGGACCTTCCCCCCAGAACTTCAGGGACTGCCAGTGGGATGGGTGTGCTGAGCTGGGTCGGGTCTCTGCAGGACACCTCGGTTCTGACTGTGTCCCTGACAACACAACAGCAGGGCCACGGCCGTGAGCATCCAAGGAGGAGAGAGAGGAGGAGGAGATGACGCTGAAGGGAGCCACAGCAGGCCCACGGGAGCGCTCTGAGCGCGGGCGCTCACCCACCCTTTAAATCTCCCTCCGCCGCACCGGCGCCTCCTGAGCATCCCTCCCTGGCACAGCCGCGCCGCCACCGGCACCCGCCACTTGGGAATTGTCATTCCTCCTGCTCGGTGTGCGGGAAGCTGGGAGTGCCGGCGTGCTGGCCTCACCGCCAGCATCCTGCAGCCGCGGCCCGAGCAGCGTCGCCTTCCCCGGCCAGCGACTCGGCACGGTGAATCAGCACTTCCCGGCTTGGGGCTGGCACTGTGCCGTCGCCACGGTCCCCCCACCGGGCACAGGTGATGTCCCCCCACATCCTGAGGGCAGCCAGGGCAGCGGTTGGCTCCTGGTACCCATGGCACCCTCAAACCCATTCCCTGGCTCATCCCTTGCCACTGCAGCGTGCTGCTGGAAAACCCCTTCCCGGGGCACAAGAACTCATTGGGATCCCCCCAAACATCCCAAAAATGCTGCCCCACCACCGCCACCCGCAGCCTGGTGTGTCTCCATTGCTCCACTTCACCAAAACACCTGGATTTGGCATCTCCACCGTGCCTATGGGCATCCACGCTCTTGTTGGGAAGGGGGCAGGAGTCAAGGGGCATCCCCCCAGCCCCCCAACAGCCTCCTGCCTGCGAGGCGCAGGGCCAGAGCTGGGAGCAGATGGTCCTGCTCGGCACGGCCACGCTGCACAGCACGGGGCGCTTGGGCACGGCCCGGCATGGCTTCTCCGGCCGCGCTGCCCCGCTCCGGCCAGGGCTCCCCTGCCACACTCTCACCCGCCTGGAGAATTTGGGCTTCCCCAGGGCCACACGCTGGCTGTGCCAGGACTGTCCCATGTCACCCAAGCCGGAGACACGCACACGTGCTGACACTCCACAGACATTTTTGGCTATAAATAGGCCTCCCCTGTGCGCGGCGCCAGCCAAGCCCCGCTCCCTTCTTAGGAGCTGCCCCCCCCCCGCACCCCAAAATCGCCAGCCGGTGCCACAAAACCGCACGATAGCTGTAAAATACTCTGCAGGGGGTTGTGCCGGCACCCAACGGGGCTTTCTGGGTCTCCTGGGCTTGCCACCCTCTTCCAAGGCACCCCGATCTCCTGATTCTGGGAGCTGGAAATTTATAAAGGGAAATGCTGGGAAATCAGCCCTTGGGGACCCCTAGGTTATTGGGGTGAGGGTAAGAGTTCCCTCAGCCCAATGCCTACCCGTGAGCATCCTTGTGGAGCTGGGATGAGGGGGGAGTCAAGGGCACGGCACCCCAGAAACCCTTTCCAGTAAGTCCAGTTTGCCCAGTTGCTAAAAACTGGGGGACAAAGTGGGTTGGGCAGTTGTGTTCCACCAAGACCCTCCGGACTCGGCTTGCCCACCGTGTCTTGACAGAGCTGGGAGCACCCAGGACTGTCTTGGGGAACCCTCCAGGGGTTGGTACCCCAGGGGAAGTGTCCCCAAGGTGTCCCCACGTTGTCCCCGGGGTGTCCCCAGAAAGTCACCGCCACTCGCCTGCCCCGTCCTTCCTGAAAGCAGCCCCGAGGGACACGGGGTGACAGCAGAGCCCCCGCCGCAGGGCGAAAAGGGCGTTTAGCCCCCTCCGGAGGGCTCCTCACCCCCCACCAAACTTTTCGCCGTGCCTACCGCCCTCCCCCCCCAGTACCGCTCCCGGTGCTCGGCGCAGACCCCCGCCCGGTATCCCCGGGGCGGGCAGCGCCTCCCGGTGCCCCCCCCGTCGGCGTGTCCCCGGGGAGCGGCGCCTCCCGCCGCCCCCCGAACCCCTCCGTACGCCCCGGAGCGGCGCATCCCGGTGCCGCGGGGTCTCACCTGCGCGGGGCGGCGGGCGGGAGAGCGGCGGCGGCGGCGGCGGCGGCGGGGCCGGTGCGGGAGCGGGGCGGGGGGAGCGGAGCCGCCCTGCACGGCGATATAAATAACATTATCTGGGCGCGCAGGGACATTCCTGCCCGGAGCCGGCGGCGCTGCCCGGCCCCGATAGCCCAGCTCCCCCCGGGAGGGCCGGGCCGAGCCGACCGGGCGGGCGGGGACGGGGATGGGCGCAGGGACGGGGACGGGGACGGGCCGCCCGCCCCGCAATGCAGCACAGCGGCGCCCCCCGGCCGCCAGCGCCACCGGCACCCGCGGCACCGGCAGCGGCACCGGCAGCGGCACTGGCAGCGGCACCGGCAGCGTCACCGGGCACCGGCACCAGCACCGACAGCATCACCGGCAGCAGCAGCACCGGCGGCACCGGCACCTGCCAGGTGCGGAGTAGCGCAGCGCCCCGCCGACATCGGTGGGGGTCCCCGGCGAACCACCCCCTCCCCACCTTCCCCGGCCAGCCCACGTGTCCTCCGGCAGCCCTGGATGCCCCCCAGCTAGTCACAGGCACCCCGCAGCTGGCCCTCAGTGATCCCCAGCCAGTACCGGGTGTTCCCCGCTAGTTCTGGGTATCCTCCCCCCGCTAGCTGTGGTTGTGCCTCATTAGCCCTATCAGTCCCCCAGCTAGTCCCAGGCACCCCCCAGTTAGACCTCAGTGTCCTCCAGCTAGCCCCAGGCATGCCCCAGTTACTCTGGGTGTCCCCCAACTAGTCAGTGGTGCCCTCCACCTAACGCAGGCAGCCCCCAGCTAGCCCTGGCCCCTGCGTGATTAGCCCTGGGTATCCCCCAAAAGCCCTGGACGTGCCTCAGGTAGCTCCAAGTGTCCCCCAATAGCCCTGGATGCCCCCAGCTAGTTCCAGTAACCTCCAGCCAGCTCCTAATGTCCCCGAGCAGCCTTGTCCCCACTAGTCCCAGGTGCCCCCAGGGAGCCCCAGGTGTCCTGTACTACTCCTCTGTGCCCCCGGGTGTCTTCCACTAGTCCTATGTGTGTCCCACTAGTGCCAGGTGACCCCAGGTAGCCCCAGGTGTCCTACACTAGTCCTGTGTGCCCCCAATAGTTGCAGGTGTCCCCCACTAGTCCCTGGTTCCCACCAGACAGCTCCAGGTGTCCCTCACTAATCCGGTGTGTGCGCCACTAGTCCTGTGTGCCCCCACTTGGGAAGCCCCAGGTGCCCTGCACTAGTCCTGTGTGCCCCCAGGTGTCCGCCACCAGTCCCGGGTGCAGGTAGCCCCAGGTAGCCCCAAGTGTCCCCCGGTAGCCCCAGTTTCTCCCCATCCCGCCCCATTGGCCCCAAGCCCCGCCCCTTTCCCCTCAAGCCCCGCCCACAACTACTGAGGCCGCGCCCGCGGCCCCGCCCCGCTGCTAAACCCCGCCCCTTTGGGCCCAGCTCTCGCGAGACCCGGGTCGCGAGATGTGCGGGGGCTGTGTGGGCACCGAGTACCCCGAGCGGGTGAGGGGCGGGGGGGGCCGGGCCGGGACCCGCCGGGACCCCTCCCCGGGCCGGTCCCAGCCTCTGCTGCCGCCCTAGGGCACCACCTGCCTGGAGGGCGGCTCCTTCCTCCTGAACTTCGTGGGCTGCGCGCAGTGCGGCCGCCGGGACTTCGTGCTGGCCGCGAACCGGGCCGCGGGCCTGCACGACGGGGAGGAGATCGTCACCTACGACCGTGCGAGGGGGGAGCACCGGGGCAGGGGGGGCGTGAGCTGTGGGATCTGGGGGTCTTGAGGGCCAAGGGGGACATTTGGGGCCTGGGACTCAGGGGGTCGCTGAAGGTTGGGAGGGGTGACTGGAGGACTGGGAGGGGTCTGGAGATCGGGGATTCTTGGGTGTTGGAGGGGACCTGGGGCCTCTGGGGGACCTCTGGGGCCTGGGGTTTTGGGGTGCATGATGATAGGACCCGGGCTCAGAGGAGGGGGGAGGCCTAAGGGAGGGTTAATTTGGGGGCCCAATATTCAGGAGGTCCCTGAGGACGGGAATGGTGGCTTCCCGGGGATGGGGTCTCCTGACGGGTTGTCAGGGAGCTGAGGGGCATTAAGGGGGGTGAGGTGCTGGGGTGGGGGAATTCGATGCTTTGGGGACAGGAGGTCTGCACCCCAGGAGTGAGGGCAAGCACAGAGGGTGGGGGTTTCTCCCGAGGGACTGGGAGGGGGTGTACCCCAGGGACAGTGCCTGTGTTCCCTCACCCCACTGTCCGCCGTTCTCACAGACCTGTGCAAGAACTGCCACCACCTGATTGCGCGTCACGAGTACACCTTCAGCGTGGTGGACGACTACCAGGTGTGCCCCTTTTTCACCCCAAACCCCTTCCTGGTTCCTTTGCCTCCGGAATGTCAGACCCACCCTTCCGCGGGCTGATTCCCACCTGCCCTGGGACGGAGCCTCGAAGGATTCGGAGCTGCATCCTCTGTGCCCGGGGCTACCTGGAGGTTCCCAGCACTGGTCCGTGCCTTGTGGGGGGAGCCCAGCTCACCTGGCACGGGAATGTGGGTGATGGGAGGGGCCTGTGCCCCCCATTCCTTATTCCTGTCCCATTTTCTATGTGGCAAACTGCTGGAAAAAGGGCTCGGGGGAGCCGGTGGGGCTGGAAATGAGATCCCCCCGGCTCTGATTGCAATCAGGGATCGGGTACCGGATCCGGCTCAGGTTTCCCTGTGGGGGAGCAGGGCCGTGGCAGCCCCCTTTTTTTTCCATCCCCCCCTTTTCCTCCCCCCAGGAATACACCATGCTGTGCCTGCTCTGCGGCCGTGCTGAGGATTCCATCAGCATCCTGCCCGATGACCCTCGCCAGATGACCCCACTCTTCTGAACTGGTGTGTACCCTGGGATGAGATCCCTGGAACCACAATCCCTGGGGACCACACAGTCCCTTATGTGATTCTCTCCCCCAGGCTTCCAACCTGGATTCAAGGAATGCCCGACACCGGATGCTCCCGTGTTTCCGGAGCCCTGTGGCTCTGACCCCGGCTGCAGGGATGGGGTGCAGCGCCACGGCCCGAGCCCCCCGTGTGCTGGAGACATAAAGGGGACCCCAAAACAGGGTCTGTGTCTCCCCAAAAACAGGATCGAAAGGGATTCCCACCCCATCCCTGCCTCAGGAGGCCTCTGGTGTGGGGCAATAAATGTGACGTGTGACAGCTCAGTGGTGCAGGTGGGAATATTTTGGGGCTGGGCTTTACCCCCTAGAGCTGGTGAAGGTATTGAGTCCTGATACAGGGATCAAGGGAGCTTTTGCCATCCCAGGAGCCTATGGAATTCCTCTCTAGTCCTTCCCAGCACCTGAGAGCCCACTGCACCCTCGCAGTGCTCTCCTGTGGAGAAAACTTGATTATTTTCCCTCCCTGAGGAGCTGGCTTGGGGTCACGTCTGTGTGCCCTGGGGTGTGTAACTTAGCCCTGCCCTGCCGGGAATTCCTTATTCCTGAGGCGGGAAGGAGCTGGGTGTGGGAAATCACTGCCCTGGGGTGAGTGAGGTGCTGCTCTTGGCACCCAGCCCCAGCAACACCCACGGGGAACTGGGTGCAGCCAGCCTGGCCCCCACCTACCCCTGTGCCGCTGTTTCCTGATGTGGCACCTTGGGGCTGCAGCCTCCTTCCTGCTACCCCACATGGCTGTGGGTATGTTCCCAAAAACCACGCGGATCCGGGCGCGCTCCCTCCGGCTCGTTTATTGCCCCCAGCCCGTGCCGCCCCAGAGGCTCCAACCCTCCGCCCCTATCGAGCCCCCTCCCCACGGCGGTTTCAGAGGGGGCTGTCACCCTGCGGAGAGCTGGGGCCACCCCAGGGTGACCGCAGAGCTGGGATCACATCGGAGCCGGGGCCGTGCCGGAGCTGGGGTTACTTGGCCAGCTTGAGGAGGCGCTGGATGTCGGGCTCCAGCTGCGCCGTGGGCACGCGGGGGCTGTAGCGCCGGAACGGCTCCCCCTCGGGCCCCACTAGGAACTTCTCGAAATTCCAGGAGATGTCGGAGCGCCGCACGGGGCTCCAGGTGACAAAGCGGGGCTCGGACATCAGGTGTGCAGCCTCGTCGGCTGGCGCGGGCAGGTGAGCCTTGAGGTAGGCGAACACGGGGTGGGTGTCGCTGCCGTTCACCTGGCACTTCTGGAACAGGGTGAAGTTGGGTTCAAAGCCGCCCCCGGGCCGCACGTGCTTCAGGGTGTTGAGGATCTCCTCGTTGGTGCCGTTCTCCTGCGGCAGGGAAGGGAAAATCCGGGAGCTATGAGTTTCCCGGCTCCCCCACCCCCCACACCACTGCCTTGTAGCCCACAGGACTTACCTGGTAGCCAAACTGATTACAGGGGAAGCCCAGCACGACCAGCCGCCGGGGGTAGCGGGCTTGGAGCTGGTTGAGCTGGGTGTAATCCCGCACCGTGGTGCCTCAGAGCGACGCCACGTTTTCTATCAGGACCACGCGGCCCCGGAAAACGCCGAAATCCACCTTTTCCCCGTGCAGGGAGGTGGCGCTCAGGTCGTAGAAGGACTTGGCGATGGGGACGCTCATGGCTGCGGGCGCGGCTGCCTCCCCCGCGCGCCCGCACCGCCTCTTAAGGGCTTCCCGGCTCCCACGTCATGGTCCAAAGGTCTGCGGGCCCCGCCGCGGCTTGGGAGAAATCGGAGCTGCCCGTCCCACCCGTGGAAGGAGGAAGGTGGCGCAGGGCCAGGGCGATGCTCCACCTGCCTCAATAATTCATGGCACGGTGCGGTGCGGCTGCTCGTCCCAGTGCCCGCAGGATGTGGGTTGCTGCCGGCCTGGCACGGCGTGTTCCCGAGGTTTGGGAATGCTGGTGGGAATCGGGGAATAACTGGGAGCTGGGGCTGTGTGGGGTGGAGGACAGGAGGGACGGGTGCCCCAGCACTTCTGGCCTGGCGCTGCCTTGGCATCGCCTCTGGGGACTCCTGCGCTGCCATCCCAGTGCCCACCAGTCCCAGGGCCCGCTGGTCCCAGTGCCAGCTCAGTCCTTGGGCCCATCCACAGTGGTGCCCACCATTGTCCTTGTACCTGCCCATCCCAGTGTCCGGCAGCATCTCGGTGTCCACCTCTATGCTGGTGACCGTCATCCCAGTAACCACCCATCCCACTGGTGTTGGCCGTGGCACCCCACGGGTCCCACGCTCCATATTCCCGTGCCCAGCCTGGAAAGGGGACACCGTCCTGGCTGCCCCCGATCCCTGTCAATTATTGATCACCGCTCGGGTGTCCGTGCCCGGGCTGTGCCTGCTGCACGCTGCTCCCTGTGCCGGTGCCTCTGGAGGGTGACCACCACTATGGCATCGTGCCCACATCCCCCCACGGAGCACACGCACTACCAGCACCTCCAGCATCACTTTTATTCTGCAAACGGTGTGTGTAAAACTGGGGGGCTCCCACGGGCACGGGGTGGACACCGGGTGGGTACACAGCGCCTGGACACCCCCCATCCCACCCTGCACACCAGGGGGGGCACAGGTGCCAGGATGGGGGGGCACCCTCATGCCTTCCCCCCTCCCACTCCCTGTGGGGTGTCCCTCCCCGCCTCCATGGGGACCGCCCCAATCCCGCCCCTATCGTGCCCTCCCCCGACACAGCCCGGGGCACCGTCAGGGAGGTGCCAGCCTTCAGCACCAGCAGGTTTTGGGGGAGTCCTCACTCTGCAGAGGCTGTTGCTCCTCTTCCTCCAGCCGGGCCAGGGTGGGGGCGCGGGGGGGTCCCCGCAGCTCCTCCAGCTCCTTGCGGTGCGCCTGCAGCACCAGCTCCGTCAGCCGTGTGAAGGACTGCGGGAAGGGGCGTGTGAGCCCGGGAGAGCGCGCCCCGACCCCTCCAGAACCTCCAGCCCTCCTCCCAGTCCCCTCAGGACCCCGCGGCCCTCCTCCAGCCCCCCCCATACCTCCTTGATGTTGAGGTTGCTGCAGGCACTGGTCTCGTAGAAATCCATCCCGTATTCCCTGGCCAACTGTGGCACCAGGATTTTGGCGGGGAGGGAGCGTGATTTGGTGGGGGGGGGGATTCAATTACCCCGCTTCCCCCCCGGAACGTGCACAGCCGGGCACGGACAGACGGGTGAGCTGAGGGGGCTGGCATAGGGGAATCCCCCCGGGTCTGGGCACTGGGGACTTTGGGGGTCCAGAGGTTCTGGGGGCGTCCCTGGGTGCTTTAGGGGTGCAGGGGACCACGCTGGAGGTGCGAGGAGGGGTTGGGGTTCCCTGGACACCCTGGGGGCGGAGTGTGTGGGGGAAAGGGGGTTCCTGGATGCTCTGGGAGCTGGGGTGGGGGGGTCCCTGGTCATGCTGGGGGGCACTGGGCATGTTTGGGGGTCCCTGGGCACAGGTAAGGCTGCAGGAGGGCTGTTGGGGTCCATGGAGAGTGCAGGGTGGGCTCAGGGAGGGACTGACCAAGCCAGGGGTAGAGGAGGGGGGTACTGGATGATCTGGGGGTCTAGAGGTCCCAGGGAGGACACGGGGGGGGGGCACTGGGTGCTTTAGGGGTGCAGGGGACCATGCTGGAAGTCTGGGGAGGGGTTGGGGGTCCCTGGACATCCTGGGTGGGCAACAGGGAGATCTAAGATCGGCCCTTGGAGTGTACAGCTACTGTGGGGGAGGCAGGGAGCTCCTGGATAGTGGGAGGGGAGGGAATGCTGTTTTTGGGGTGCCTGGGTACAGACTGCAAGGGGGTAGGAGACGCCTGGTCATGCGGGGGCGGGGGGAGCTGGGGATGTTTGGTAAGGCTGCGTGAGGGCTATTGGGGTCCCTCGTGAGTGCAGGGGGGGCCCTGACCACCCTGGGGGCGCAGGGGTTGGGGTCCTGCCCCCCCGCGGGGCACAGGCCAGCCCCCGCTCACCTGCAGCCCTTGCTCTTTGGGCACTTGCCTCTTGTGCTCCTCGTCCGCTTTGTTCCCGATGAGGATTTTCTGGACGCCGTCGGGTGCGTACTGCGGGGTGAGTGGTGTGAGGACCCCCTCACCACAGCGGGGGGACCCCCAGCCCTTCCCGCCCCCCCATGCACCCCCACCTCATCCACGTCGCTGGCCCACTTGACGATGTGCTGGTAGGAGCGCTCGCTGCTGATGTCGTACACCAGGAAGATGCCCTGCGGGAGGGGGGGCCGGCCATTGACACCCCAAATCTGTACCTCAGTTCCCCCTCTGCTGCTCACCAGGACGGGTCCCCCCTCCATACCTGTGCCCGCCGGTAGTACTGCTTGGTGATGGTCTGGTACCGCTCCTGGCCGGCCGTGTCCCTGCCCGGGGACAACGGGTCAGTGCCACCACCCGCGGCACGAGTTGGGCAGGGTTCAGCCCCCACCCCGGCTGGGGGAGCGGGACTCAGACCTCCCCCAAAATGCCCCCCTTCCCCCACCCCTCCCCGGGATCCGGTGCCGCCACTCACCAGATCTGTATCCGCACCTTGATCCCGTCCACCTCGATCGTCTTCATCTTGAAGTCGACACCTGGGACGGGGACGGGAGAGGGGACGGGGTGTCCCGGTGTTCCCCACCGCTGGAGCTGCTGTCACCGGGGGCACTCCGGTCCCCTCCTGGCCCACCCCAAGCCCCGCCGTGGCCCGGTCCCGGTGCCCACACCTGGTGCCAGGCCTGGCAGGAAGTGCCAGGTAGGTGATCCAGGTTCCCCAGTGCTACGGCTTTCCGGTGCTGTGGCTGCCCACTGCTCCCGGTTCCCGGCTGCATCCTGCTCCCGGCTCCCCCGTGCCAGAGATGCCCAGTGTTCCCGGTTCCCCAGTGCCCATGATTTCCTGGCTCCCTGATGCTCCCGGTTCCCCGAAGCCGCGGCTCTCCGGTGCCCCCGGTTTCCCAGTTCCCGGGTACTGCGACTCCAGATGCTCCCGATTCCCTGGCTCCTATAGTTTCCCCACTCTCTTGTTCCCCATTTTCCCGGTGCCCACGGTTAACCGTGTCCCCGTTACTCGCAGTTTCCCGGTGCCCCCGCTTTTCCCGTGCCCGCCACTCCCTGGTTCCCCGGTGCCCACGGCTCCCGGGTGCCCTGGTTTCCCGTTTCCCCGATTCTGTGGCTTCTCAGTTCCTCGGTACTCCCCCGTTCCCCGGTGCCCACGGTTTCCCCCCTCCTTGGTTTCCCGGTTCCCGTGGCTCCCTAATCCCCCCCAGTTCCCATGGTTTTCCCGCTCCCCAGTTGCCCGGTTTTCCGTTTCCCCGGTGCTGCAGCCTCCCGGTACTCGCGGTTTCTCGGTGCCCACGGCTCCCTGCTTCCCCAGTGCTGCCGCTCCCCGGTTTCGCGGTGCTCCCCGTTTCCCGGTGCCACGGCTCCCCGGTTCCTCAGTTCCCCGCTTTCCCTTTTCCCCGGTACTGCGGCTCCCAGCGCTCCCGTTTCCCCGGTGCTGCACCTCCCCACCGCTCCCGACTCGCTGATGCTCCCGGTTCCCCGTTTCCCCGTTTCTCCGTTTCCCCGGTGCTCCCGCTTCCCCGACGCTGCCGGTTCCCCGCTCCCGCCGCCGCGCGCTGCCGGTGCCGGTACCGATGGTGGAGATGTGGGCGGGGTGGAACTGGTTGTCGGTGAACCGGCAGAGCAGGCAGGTCTTGCCCACGCCCGAGTCCCCGAGCAGCAGCAGCCGGAACAGCACGTCGTACTGCTTGGCCATGGCGGGCCCGGGCACCGGGGCCGCACCGGAGCTGCGCCGCCGCCGCGCCGGGCCGGGCTGGCACCGGGGGATGCACCGGGGCGGGGCGAGGGCGGCGGCGGCGGCGGGAGGGGGCACCGGGGCGAGGGTGTGGGGGGGTAACCGGCGGATGCTGTGGGGAACGGGGAGGGGACACCGGGGATGCGGGGGAGGGAGCACCGGGGGTGCACCGGGGATGTACCGGGTGCGGGGGAGGCACCGGGGAATGCTGTCGGGAAACGGGGTGGGGACACCAGGGGAAGCACCGGGAGAACCGGTGGGGACAGGACACCGGGGGATGCTCCGGAGTACCGGGAGGGACACGGGAGTGCGCAGGGGAGGGAGAACCCGGGGTACACCGAGGATGAAGCAGGGGATGCCCCGGGCACCGTGGGGATTTGTAGGGGAGCTCCGTGAGGGACACGGGGGAACCGGGGCCGATGGGGACACCGGGGGATGCTCTGGAGTACCGGGAGGGACACACAAGGGAGGCACCGGGGATACCTTGGGGGTGCTCTGGAAAACAGGAGACAGGAGAAACGGGGGATGCCCCAGGGGGACGAGCGGGGACACCAGGAGATGCTCCGGGGCTGCTGGGAAGGGGACACAGGGGTGCAGCAGGGGACACTGGGGTGAAACAGGGAGCTGCACTAGGGGAACGGGTGACACTTTGGAAGGATGGGATGGCATCCAGGGGGACAAAGGTGGGCCCATGGGAACGTTGTGGGGGTCAAGGAGGCCAAGGGCAGGGTTGGCACGGGGACAACTGCCGGGATCAGTGCAGGATGGGGATGATGGCGTGGACAGCAGCCCAGAGGGGAGGGATTTGGGGGTGTTGGGTGATGTCCTCCACTGCCCGGCTGCAGAGTCCTCGGCATGGGAAGGACGTGGAGCTGCTGGAGCAGGGCCAGGGCAGGCCATGGAGATGCTCCGAGGGCTGAGGACAGGCTGGGATAGAGCTGGGGGTGTCCAGCCTGGAGAAGAGAAGGCTCCAGGGAGACCTTTGATCCCCTTCCAGTGCCTAAAGGGGCTCCAGGAGAGCTGGAGAAGGGTTTTGGACAAGGGCATGGAGGGACAGCACAAGGAGAAATGGCTCCAAAGTGGAAAAGGGAAATTCAGATGGGATATTAGGGAGAAATCCTTCACTGTTAAGGGTGGCGAAGCAATGGGAACTGAATTCCCAGAGAAGCTGTGGCTGCCCATGGATGCCTGGAAGTGTCCAAGGATGAGCTCCCTTCCAGGATCCCAAGCCACGGAGTAAGCGATGACGTCACGCGTGACGTCACACCGCGATGACGCAGCGCCCTCCCGGCATGCGCGCCGGGGCCGGGCGGGGCGTGCGGGGCGTGGCCAGGCGACGAAAGGGCGTGGCCAGGCGGGAGGGGCGTGTCCCCCGGGGGGGCGTGGCCGTCTGTCCCCTCCCGGCCGCCGTCGCCGCTCCCCGCGGGCCGCGATGGCGGGAGCGGCCCCCGGGCCCGGCGGGCGGCGGCGGCTGCGGGACGACGGGCTGCGGACCTGCACCTCCGCCGAGCAGGTGCGCGGGCAGCGGGCCGGCCGCCGCGGGGCTCCGCGACGGGGCTCGGGGGCGGGAGGCCAAGAGTGGGGTCGCCAGGCTGCGGTGTGGGGTCTGGGGTGCGGCGGGGCCGGCCCTGGGGTGCGGCGGGGCTGGTGTGCGGGGTGCCGGGGCTGCTGTGGGACCGGCTGATCCCTGCCCCAGTTTCCCCGCGCCAGCCGCTGGCCGCACACCCACCGATGTCACATCAGTTCGGTCACCCGGGGGGGGTTTGGGGGGTTTCGGGGGGTGCTGCCACCCGCCAGGCGCTGCAGCCCCCCGGGGGACACCCCCGCTGGCTGTGACACGTCCCCCAGAACTAGTGACACGTTGTCCAGACCTAGTTCGGGGCGGGTGAGAGGTCGTGGGGGACAGCCAGACCCCCTCCTCCCGCCCTCCGTCCTGATCCAGCTGCTGGCAGCTCCCCTGGGTGCCGGGACGGGGTGAAAAGTGACCGCTGTTTTCCCAATCCTTGGGATTTCTGCTCAGTTCCATCCTGGCAGGGCACAGTGCCATGCATGTGGGTCCCTGTGCTGCCCCTCCCAAACCCTGTGGCCGATCCTGGGGTGTTTTCCTGGAGGATTACTCTGGGCCGGGGGTGTCGGACTCCCTGGTTATCCCAGGGTGAGTGGGAGGAAGGTGTTTTCCATGGGGGTCCCAGGATGGATCAAACTCCAGCTGGATTTGTAAAGCAGCACCAGATGGTGCTGGACTCTGACATAATTCAGGGCACAAAGGTCCTGGCAGCTCCCACTTCGGTTTTACTGGATGAAATGGGGCTGTGAGTCCGATAAAGCCCTGGGATGGGGTAGAAACTGGGGGGCTCAGTGGGGATCATTTTGGGATGTGCGGAGCTGCTTCCCAGAGATTACCACAGTCTTTATTCCCTCTTTGCCCGCCAAGTCCAAGGTGGAGGACATCGTGCAGGAGGTCTATGACGCCTACAAGACAAACCATCACTCCTCGCAGTGAGTCCTGAAATTCCCAATATATGTAAACAACTCCCATCCCAAAAAACCAACAACTCCGGTTGTGGTGGGATCCTGCCCCTCCTGCCATTGACCCCCTGCTTTTCCAGGCCATCCTGCCTGCTCATCCCTGTCCTTCCTGTCTCCCAGGTACGTCCTGCAGCGGGAGAAGCACTTCCATTACCTGAAGAGAGGCCTCCGGCAGCTCACTGAAGCCTACGAGGTACCGGGAATGCCGGATATCCCGCCCTGGAGCCACTGGCTGGGACAAACCCCTCACCCCAGGGCTGTCACTGGGGCTTTGCTGGCCCCGGGGTGGACACAGCATTTCCTGTGTGCCCGTGGGATGTGGTGATGCTCTGGGGGTTCTGCTCCCTGTCCTCTCACCCCTGCCTGCTCCTGCTGCACCCCGTGTCCAGTGCCACTCCCCACCTGTCCCCTCTGTCCCCACAGTGTCTGGATGCCAGCCGCCCCTGGCTCTGCTACTGGATCCTGCACAGCCTGGAGCTGCTGGATGAGCCCATCCCGGAGTCCGTGGCCTCCGAGTAAGTGGTGGGAGCCGAGGGGGGGACCCCAAACCCTGCCACAGCCAGCGTCCCCACGGGCCGCCCGCGTGACGCTGGAGGTGCCACCTCCCGCTGTCCCCGGAGCAAAGGAGCGCTTTGTCTCCCTGCTTTGTCTCCCTGCCGCCGTCAATGCCGCCCATTCTTCCGGAGGCTCCCTCGTGACGGCAGAGATGGGGGGGTGACACCCCCGGCTTCGGCCTCGGCGGGGGTTCACGGGGCTGGGAGGGGACACATCGCCCTGCTGGGGCGACACAGGTAGCAATGAGCCCCTTGCCCACTTTTCCTGCAGCGTCTGCCAATTCCTGAGGCGCTGCCAGAGCCCCCAGGGGGGATTTGGAGGGGGTCCCGGGCAGCACCCCCACCTCGCCCCCACCTACGCCGCCGTCAACGCGCTCTGCATCATCGGCACCGAGGAGGCCTTCGGCATCATCGACAGGTCTGGGGGCCGGGACAGCTTGGGGGGACGTGGGGGGGTGTGTCCTCCCCCCTCACAGCCGCTGGCTCCTGCAGGAAGAAGCTCCTGGAATACCTGTACTCTTTGAAGCAGCCGGATGGCTCCTTTCTCATGCACGTGGGTGGAGAGGTGGACGTCAGGTGGGTGAGGGCTGTTTTGGGGAGCTGGGACACTTTTGGGGAGCCAGTGCTGGGAGCTGGTGATGGTTTTGGGAGCCGGTATAGTTTTGGGGAGCTGGTGCTGTGGCGGGGAGCTACTTTGGGGTGCCGTAGCACAGGGCTGGTGTCAGGAGCTGGTGCTGTTTTGGGAAGCCAGTGTAATTTTGGGGAGGCAGAGCTGCCGCAGGGAGTGGGTGCCATTGTGGGGTGCCGGTGCCACATCCCTGAGCACCCTTTTCCCACATCCCTGAGCACCCTTTTCCCGCAGGAGCGCCTACTGTGCTGCCTCGGTGGCCTCACTGACCAACATCCTGACGCCCGCGCTCTTCTCCGGGACGGCCGAGTGGATTGTCAGGTGAGATTTTGGGACGGGAGCGGGGACACACAGACAAGGGATGGCATTCCCGGCACCAGTGCCGCCCTGACCCTGCTCCCACAGGTGCCAGAACTGGGAGGGCGGGATCGGCGGCGTGCCGGGCATGGAGGCGCACGGCGGCTACACCTTCTGCGGCATGGCCGCGCTGGTCATCCTGCAGCAGGAGCACCTGCTCAACCTGCGGAGCCTGCTGGTGAGTGACCCCTGCCCAGGGCACAGGGCGGGAGGGTCTCATCTCATGGGGGAACTCTGATCCCACACCGGCTCCGATCGTCCCGCAG